CACACACACACACACACACACACACACACACACACACACACACACACACACACACACACACACACAACTAAGAGCAAGGCACATGTACGTTTCTCGGTACGTTTGTTTAGTTTCTATTTTCTCAAGTTCGTAACCATTTTTTCCCCCCGTCTTCTTTTCTTTCCCCCTTCTCTTTTACCTAGGCAGCCTTTTTTAACATCGCACACACAACGTGAAGATGAAATAAAGAGGCCCGTTCAGTCCCACAGCTACAGTGCCTCCTCACCCTCTGCCAGGCCAACCCTTTGAAAATGTGGCGCGTTTACACCCGCAAGGTTCCTTGGGGGGGGGGGGAGCGGCTGGTAGTTTATGCCAGCTACAGGCACAGGAGAGGTGAGTTTTGATATGCGCCTACCCACAGACCTTTTCGAAGGCATTGCTTGATGTGCTGTAAGTTAAACTGCTCAGTTTCGCCCTTCCGCTCCACCATGACCTTCCGATAATCTTCAAGCATCAACGGCAGCAAGGCCTTTGTCGGGTACTGATAAGAAATGGAAAATATGAAAAGAGAAAGCAACATGAATTAGTGCCATCACCATTATCACCATTAAAAACTTATGTTCATGTAGTCCCAAACTATGTGTGCATGGAAGAGGGAGCAAACGAGTGTATGCCACTATAAGCTGCATTTCATTCCAACTGTTCTTTCCACACACACAGAAATACATATTGTCACATTTCAAACAGAGCTGGCCGGTAAACCTAAGGCAGAGAGGGAGAAGAGGACAACAAACGAGGGTCTGTGACAAACTGTTTCGTCGGAGTTTCACCGACTCATCAGGAGGCTGAACCCGAGAAGACGACAACAAACGAGGGGCTGTGACAAACTGTTTCGTTGGAGTTTCACCGACTCATCAGGAGGCTGAACCCTCAACAGTCTGCAGAATCCCCTAACTGATTACACTGTCAGTGACAATCTACCTTAACCCCGGTTGTGGTTAAGCATCAATGACTGCCCGACAACTGATACCCTGAGGTGGTGGGGACCACCAGCCACTGCCCTCAAGGTACCTGTGACGAAAATCAAAGCAGACTTCTATCATCAAACAGAGCTGCCCAGTAAACCGTAAGCAGAGAGGGAGAAGGCGACAACAAACGAGGGGCTGTGACAAACTGTTTCGTCAGAGTTTCACCGACTCATCAGGAAGCTGAATATATGACAATACATATATTGTCACATATCTATGAACTAAAAGAGTGCACTTTGCGAAACAAACGATAAAAATAAAAAATATAAAAGACAAACATGAAGAGCAAACTGAAACCATTCATTTTTCTCATTCTTCTTTTAAACCCCCCTTCACCATGCCTCTCTCGAACAATGGCTCGCCACATTGATGAAGTTGAGCGCAAGCTGCCCATATCGCTGTGTGCCATAACGGCCCACCTGTACGCTGTGAGAAAGAGGCAGAGTTAAGGGGGAGGGGATAAACACAGAGATGAGGGATGGAGAGAAGACAAAACAAAGAACAACAAAGGGAAAGTAAGGTATGTGAAATGAAGATGACAGCAAAGGAGAAAGGATAAGAAAAGGTTCAAGAATCAGTCTGTCCTTGACGACAGAGAGGACATGCATTGTAAGGATGAGGTGGAAGAAAACATGGGAGACCTAGCTGGAGAACTAGCTGAGCATTCTCAGCACAGCAATTGCCATGATGGCTGGCATTGAGCATGCCCACCATCACCCCCAACAAATGGCATGTCGATTACATGTCAATTGCAGGCTAAAATGAAGAAAGAACGGTCACCACAAAATACCATGCATTCAGTATAGCGCCCATGGCCGAAAAATGGACGTATAGTGTCCGGATGCGGAGGGTGCCTGCAGTCAGGAATGGAGGGACAGTACTCTATATATTGTGAAGCAGAACTGCATGGTAAACCATAGGCAAAGAAGGAGGAGAAGACAACAGACGAGGTACTGTGACAGACGCTTTCGTCTGAGTTTCATCAACTCATCAGGAGGCTGAACCCTCTGCAGAGTCCCCTAACCGATGATACTGAAAGTGATCATCAACCTTAACCCCTGTTGTGGTTAAGCATCGACGGCTGCCCGACAACTGATACCCTGAGGTGGGCACCAACCACTGCCCTCAAGGTACCTGTGATGAAAATCAAAGCAGACTATCAATCACCCACATCAGACGGAAAACTCTACAGATACATATGTTATTCACATACATTCTATATATTGTCACACTGTGAATCGGAGCACAAAGGCGGAAAAAGACAAACCAAGAAAAGGAAAAGAAGGAAGGAAGGAGAGCCCCACCTGTTCATCACCTCTTACGTACAAGGCAAGCCACGTGGGATGTATATCGTCAAACAGAACTGCCCGGTAAACCATAGGCAGGAGGGAGAAGAGGACAACGAAGGAATGGCTGTGACACACTTACATATCGATTGAACAAAGCCTTGAAGATCAACTGGCTACGAGGAGGGGGAGTGTTCTTTTCTACAACAGCAGAAGAGGTGAGAGGGAACAAACAAACCGTAGTCATGAGATATCTACCGTCTTTCAATCCGAGAACCACACGTCCGAAGACGTACAGTCATCCCCGTTCACATGCCTTCCAAGGAGACACCCTCCCCCTCCCCTCCCCCTTGCAAACCAAGCCACTCCCCGGTTTGTGATAGATTTTGGCAAGAGGGGTTCACAAAGCAGCAAACTTGACTCAATCCAGAGATCTCTCTATACATGGAACTGCGAGGCAAAAAGCCATGCAAGACAAACGGATGTCCAAAAAGATGTCGATGAAGAGGGCACTAGAGAAAACAGAAGAAGTCCATGGTTCGACGATCGGCAATCACATTTCATTTCTATCCCCGCTATGACACATCAGTACACTAGAACAAGCTAGGCGGCAGCCATATCAGGATAGAACAAGAAACAGGGATTCGATAGGTAGTGGCAATAAAAAGGAGGAGAGGAAGGGGAAGCAGATGCGGCACCAGTTAGGAAGAAATGGGCACCGGAGCAAATGGAAGGCATTACCTTACCGTCATATAAATTGGCCCATCATAACCGCACACCTCTGTGAAATATGGCAGCGCTCCACAATGATCTAAATGACTGTTACCACAGTGAAGCAGTCAATCAATCAATCAACCAACCAACGAACCAACCAATGAAACAACCAAAAAACAATCCACCAGTCAATTAACAAACCGACCACCAAACCAATCAATCGACCAACCAATCAAATGATCTATCAACCAATCAAATGATCTATCGACCAATCAACCTACCAACTGACCCACCCACTCACCCACAGACCTGCCGACCAACCTGCCGACCGACCCACCAACCCACCGACGGACCCACCGACTGACCAAACCACCAGCCAACTGACCTACCAACCGACCGACCAACCAACCGACCGACCAACCCACCCACCGACTGACCCACCAACC